ATGCATGGTTTGGGCACTCGGTGCCGAGAAGGTTCACCATCACTGTATTAGACCTTGATCAGCTGAGTTCAGGATCCCGTTTTTGCTGGCAGAGCACTCGGGCCACCACAGGTGCCCCCGACACAACTGACGTCGAGCTGGCCACGCCCACCCTGGCTCTCCAAGGTGAAACACAACCCTGATGCTGCCCTCAATGAAATTGAGTTTGACACCCCTAGCTTAAACAAAACAAATGAGGGGGGGGGGAGAGACAGACAGACAGGCCCAAAATCACCCAATCAGCTTTATGTGTAAGGTAGAACTAGAATATACTGTTTCCTGGTTTCTAGCCTGGGTGCCTTAGCCACTAGACCAAACTGACTCTCTAGTACTTTACAAGTGGCACTTCTTGGTACCTTTAATCTTTTAATCATTCTTTGTTATTCATTGCTTTAGTGTACTCAGTCATGCTATTTAATTTCCATGCACCTAGGTTTTGAATGGACTGCATATATTTATTAAACTAAATATTTATCATATAGTTTATTAAGCTTATCCACTGTGATTCTTAGAAGAGGTTGTTTGCTGGTCATAAATTCAACTGAAATATCAATTGTCTATGGATCAATTAGGTCAAATCACTTTTCCTGTATGCCATATTTTTCGGACTATAGGACGCACCTTTTTCCCTTAAAAAAGAAGCTGAAAATCTGGGTGTGTCTTATACACTGAATACAGCATTTTTTGCCTCCAGAAGCCCCTTCCCTTCATCAAAATAGCCATGCATAGCCTTTAGGAGGCTTTCAGAGTGCTCCTGGGGGCAGGGGAGGGCAGAAATGAAAGAAAAACGGGCTGTTTTTTGCTCATTTCCCCCACTCCCACCCCCAGGAGCACTCTATAAGCCTCCTTAAGGCTATGCATGCCATGTTTTTGGGAAAAAGGCCATTTTCTGCTCATTTTGTGTGGGGGGGGGGCACCCCCCAGCAACACTCTACAAGCCTCCTAAAGGCTATTCATACCCACCCCCCTTTTTTTGAAAAAAAAACAAAACAGGCCCGTTTTCATAAAAAACGGGCCATTTTGGGAGGCCTGCAGAGTGCAAAAACTTTTTTTTAAAAAATGTGCCTCTTCGAAATCTTTGCTACCTCAGTCATGGCCAAGGCTTCTACTCTACGATTCAAAGAGAAAACTGGATCCAAATTATGTCAAGAAATCCAAAAAGAAGGAGCTCGCACAAGTTATGAACAACTAGCTAAGGTCGCTGCTGCTTTCGTGGTAGATTCTTAGCCAGAGATAAGGCAGTTAGTGTTGCCTCAAGGAAGTAATGGTAGCTGATAAATAGGAAGGTAACCCTAAATTAAAATTGGGTCTAATATTGGGTGTGTGTATATATGGTAACTTCAGTCAGTCAGAGGTAAGGACACGTCTTAGCAAAAAAAAAAAAAAAAATTA